AAGAAAAGACACTGCAGATCTGTGTTGAAATAATCTGTAGTAGACAAAGGACGTGACTATCCACAGGAGTGTGATTCCAGGAGTGCTGAGGTGGCTTCCTTCCTGTGGCATCCTTGGGTTTCCCATTTGTAGTCTGTTAGCAAACGTTAGTTCATGCCTTGTCACAAGTCTCATACTCTGAAAGGCCCTTTTGAGAAGCCGAGAGACTTGTGGTTGAGAGCCACAGCCAGCACCCATTGGACCCCCTAGGGAAAAAGCCTAGGGACTAGACACCCCAGCTTCCTCCCTCTGGTCTTTTACCAAGGATTCCCCTGGCTGGTCCCAAGAGGTAGTCAGAGAATTGTCTCTATAGTTTTTTTTTTTTTAGGCTAGCATCCATGGTAGAGCATTAATTTGGAGGGGTAAGCCTAGAAGAACGTTGGCACACATTTAGCTTTTTTATTCCACAATGAAAGTTCGTATCTAGAAACGTATTTTGGAGATGCAAATGTAGGCTGTAATTGGGAAATGAGCTGATTATATTTACTTGACAGGTAACCTGAAATGACTGGAAACGAATGTAGCCTGGTGCAGTAGTGGAAGCAGAAACCACAAGGGCCTGAAGTACCCAAAAGATGCAGAGAGGGAGAAAACCACTGCGGATGTGGGGGCACCTTGAATAAACACCTCCTGGCCGCAGAGGTCAGCAGTGACAGGAGTGGGTGTATAACCACAGAGAGCAAGCATCACCCTGATTATCTTTAGTTCTTTCTCCATAGGACCTGTGAGCCAACACCTATATTCATACATGTGCCAAAACCACCTCAATAGAGACCTTGAAGAATGCCTCCCCTATATAACTCAGCTAGATAGCCACCGAATCCTTTCATGAATGAAGTTTCATGAAGAAGCCCAACATAAAACACAAAAATAAAGCTTCTGTGTTTGAGGTAGTGCCCCTCATTTCCTGATGTGTACCTTGGGCACTTAGATGATGTGATGAGGTCATGCCAGGTTGTACAGTCTCGTGATTATAGACTCTTGTCTTCCATGTCTGCAGATGGAGCCTTCTCCTGGTAGTTCCCAGACTATGGAGGCTTCTCATGTTTTCTCTACTCTATACTTACTTTATTAGCTAGTTAATAATGAATTGGTGATGATGGAACCATCCAGCTATCTGAGATCCTACTACCTGTGATAATCTACCACAAATACACATGTGATCTCCAAACTTTTGTAAATATATTGGTGCTTTCTGCAGAGTCTGAATCATTCACTGTGCTGTATGTGCACAGAATACAGCAGTGTTTAAACACCTGGAGATTCTAGTGAATAGCAAGGGCTGAGAATTTCTGATCTGGTGGGGGTCTAGTCCAACCCCAGGCAGTGACAGATAGTCTCAGCCCTACCAGATTGTAAAATCTGGGGGAAATAAAAGCACACTCTATCTTGAAGAAAGACTCTGGTTTTGTGATTTGGAAATTGGGTTAGCTGCTTATGATTATGTTGTTCTTAAGATACTTTGTAAATTAGAAATAAATTGAGTAATAAAACTCTAGTGAGACACAAATACTTGTGTGCATACATGATTGGATGTACAGAGTTAGGTTTCCCATGATTCACCCATGGACATCTTACTGTACATGTTAAATGATTACGCTGTGTTCTGGAGGCACAAAAATAAATATTTGTAATATTTATGTTTATTGGGAAGTATGTGTATTTTAACCATGGGTAATCATATTTTTAATGTTTCCAACGTGGCTCAGCTGAATTATTCTAAATTAGGCAGTAAATTTTAATAGTATTTCTAGGTATAATTTCAAGAGAATGGTATTTCTAAAAGTACCCATTTCTCTCATATAATAAGTGTCCCTAAGTTTATTATATAAAGATACTTTTATAGCCTGTCTAAATAAGTAGTAAGCCATACATCTTTTGGTTGCACTTTCTTTTTTCCAGACCCGAATTGAAATTACCCAACGAATACATCCTTCATCCTTCTTGCCAAAATTCCCAGTTGCAGCTCCAGAAGAGAAAATGAGTGTAAATTAATTAAAAATGTTCTTCCCGTGCTTCCGTTGTAAAGAAGTCAATATGTTTATGAAATCTATTAGTGGCCATTGTCAGGAAATGAAACTGCTTTGTTTCCATGCTGCCCTTCCAGAGCAAACATTTACTAGACTGACATCATAATCAAGATGGAATACTTTAGAAAGAAACAGTCCTTCTCAATACCAGCAACAAACAAACAAAACTAAACTAAAACTAAAAAAAAACCCAAAGACAAAGAAATACAAAAACAAAAACTAAGAATATAAGAATGGCTTTTCATGCTGATTAAAAAGAAAATAAACAAATTTGTAGTAATATACCTGATACTGCAAATAACACATGTCGAAGGCAGAGGCTTCCTTGCCATCTGCAGGGACAAGCACTTCTTCCTGGGGTTAGTACATTGCTAGATGCTGGTAGAGAGATGTGTGTTGGAGGGTACTGATGGCATTCCAGTATTGCCATCATGGCCCACATGGCCGTTCATCCCTTCGGCTCCCTGGTAGATCCTCTTACTGGCACACATCTTCTCTGAAATTGAGCTCTTGACCTTGGTTGTCCGGGTTTTCTTTGGGTTTCCTTGTTTCTTCATTATTTGTGTTGGGTATTTACTGGGGAAATGATTTATGTATTCTAAGTATTTCCAGAGTACTTGAGTGATTTGGTGGGAGTATATAAATACACACATAGACTCAGATTCCAGCTTCTTCTCCCATGTGCATTAGTATTTATCTTTCCTTGGTGGGAATCAATGTTTTCAAAGTTTAGCTCAGTGTGAGACCCTGGAGATACATCTCATGAAGGAGACATAAGGAAAGGACAGAGGGGAAGTAGCATGCCCTTGTTGTTCATCTGCTTTTTAGACAGGGTCTTGCTCTGAGTGTGCACCAGTGTGGGCTTGAACTCAAAGCAGTCCTCCTGCTTCAGTCTCCTGAGAGCGTAAACCACGTGCAACTGTGTACAGTTTTATGAAGAGAATAAAATATTGCTTAACCTTGTCAGGGCTTTAGGAGGCTTGGAAATAATTGAATAATGGTGCAAAGCCTGCATAGTGTGGACACTAAGGGCAGCAGCTGTTGTGGCTAAAAGCACTTCTGTTCTCTCCTGCAGAGTGCTGATTGGTCCATGACTTACCATAGGTCACCTGAGCTTGTTCCCTTTGATTTTCCTTCCAGAAGCCCCCTTCCTTCTTGGAACCCCATCTAGAATCAGCTCATCTGGGCACTTTGGAAGTCTTAGGATCTGAAGACTGCCCTGTCATCGTTAGTGACTGGCAGTGCTAGATTTTAGTAGACCACAAGCTTCCATGAACAAAATGGCAGTTGGGCTCAAGTTGCCGATATGCCTTCATCAGTGGCACCAAAAATGCCGTGCAGGGTGGAACAGCTGAAAACATCCAAGGTATAATGTCATACTCCTTGGTCTTTTCAGAAGGAACTTATCATGGTCATCATGGCATTAGCCTGTTTGGTCTGCCATTTAGGAAAATGGCATAGACTGCTTACTTTCTCTCTGCCCCGAAGTCTAGAATTCCGACATCAAGGCTTTAGCTGACCTGGGTACTGATGGCTCTCCAGCTTGCAAATGGCCATTTCCTGCTGTCTTCACAGACTTTTCCTTACTTCCACTCTGTGGGGGAAAAAAGAGCACAAATACTTCTTACCAGGTCACAAATCTTGTTGAATCACGATCTTAATTTCTTTAAATTTAGTTATCTTAGGAGCCCCATCTTTTAAAGTGCTGCCACACTAGAGTTAGGAAGGATTTCAATTTTTGGGGTAATGGAGGACACGAATATTCAGTCCACAATCATCACTTTAATTTGTTAACATTTATCTATTCAAAAAAGTAGAAAATGATAAAGGTCTGTATGTTAGGCTGTAGTAAAGAACTTTCATGTGCCAGATGTTGTTGAAAACTTGTGTATACATCATCATGTTTAGTTATTATGATACAGTCTCATCTGAGTCTCCATGACCCTAGAAGGTAGATATCATTTGTCTCTGGTAAGCAGCGACACAAGGCTTAGATCAATTAGGTAATTTACTAATTATGAAATCGCCGGTACACTTACAGGCTGGGAGGAGATTGTAGTCTTGTCCTGTGAGCTGTATCACACCCTGAGTATGATACTTGTGCATAACTGTTCAGTGTCACAGGTCAACCAAAAACAAGTCCTCCAGCTCACTCCAGGCCAGGATGACTGCTGCAGAGTCACAGGGCAGGGTCTGGGATCCATCATAATGCTGTCTTTGCTCTTACTCGCTGTGAAAATTGTTGCCAGCACTATCCAGCCTGTGCTGTGTCGAAGGTTCACCTTGACGCAGCTCCCACTTGGGAACTCATTGCGACCAGACACCCAAGCAGTGCTTCACATATAGCAGATGTCCAGCAAGTGTTCAACTGATGGAATTGCTGACCTCCTTGAGGTCACTAGACCCTGTCAGCATCATCCTAATTCCTGCGAACAGGGGCTAATACTACCATTGCCCTTTTCCTGAGGAGTATGTAAGGGAAACATTCATGCTGTTCACTCTAAAAAGCTAATTGCATGCCGGGCGGTGGTGGCGCACGCCTTTAATCCCAGCACTCGGGAGGCAGAGCCAGGCGGATCTCTGTGAGTTCGAGGCCAGCCTGGGCTACC